AGCTTAGCGCACATCTGCTATTTTTAAAGGACTACATAAACAAACAGGGCTATGTAAATAAGAAAAAAAGGAGGTTATCCCTTTAAAATCTAAAAATGTCCCTTTTCTATGGGGCGAGCAGCGAAACCTCAGAAAAGACTGGGGCTTTTTTTTTTTTTAATCCCCTTGAGGCCTCCTCCAGCCCAGAGTCACCCAAAGCCACCAGGCCTGGTTCTCCCTCATGGCACCGCTGAGGGGAGGGCAGGGGACCAGGGAGCTGGGACTCCTGGGTTTCACGCCTGGCTCTGTGAGCTTCGCCTCCAACGCCTCACACCTCTGCCCATCTCGGCACCACCTCCCCTGACGCTGGTCCCAATCCAGTCACCTCAACTGCCCAACGCACAGGTCCTCCAGTGAGGCCCCTGGCTCAGCGTGCTAACCCGCCCTGTCCCCTCTGGGGTCTCTCCCTCTCCCCCGACCCACACTTGGGTCTGCTGAATGGCTGCCCAGGTCCTTGGAGTGGCCATTGGAAGAGACTTCTAGGCTCCTGTTTCATGCCCTGTTTCTCTGAGCATGGTCTAGGCTTTCCCATTCTCCTCTGTGCCATTTCTTCCAAGTTGAGAGCTGTAAGTCATCAAAGTAACCAGGGAGCTGAGTTTAGGTCTTGCCAATGGCCAAATACATCACAAGCCGCAGCAGGAGCTCAAGTGGCCTCTGTGTTGCCTGAAATCTTTTCTCACTAGGGACTCCTCCCCACCCCTCCCCAAGCTGTCCAGTGATTCCTGCCAACAGCCTGAGCTCTCCCCTCCCCTCCGCCATCTCTCCCTCTCTCCTCCTCTGCTATCCTGAAGCAATGAAATGTGGTGGTGGTGGGGGGGACTCTCGTACACTGTAGATGGAAACATAAAGTAATACAACCACTATGGAAATACCAATGAAGGTTCCTCAAAAGACCAGGAAGGGAACCACCCATGATCCAACTCCTTGGGATTCATCCAGAAGAACTCAAGTCAGCACACTCTACCAATATCTGCATCCCATGTGCACAGCATAGCAATTCACGATAGCCACGCACGCTATGGACTCAGCCTGGGTGCCCATCAACGGAAAGAAAATGTAGTATATATACACTACGGGCTTTTATTCAGCCCTAAATTACATCATTTGCAGGAGAGTGGATGGGACGAGAGGGCAGCATATTAAGCAAAAGAAATCAGCCTCAGAAAGTCGAGGGTCGTATGTTTTGGGGGAAAAAAGGGATCTTATGAAAATGGAAGGGAGATCAACAGGGTAAAGGAAAGGGGTTAGGGGAGAGAGGAAGGGAAGGCAAGGGGGGGGGACACTGAGGAATGAAATTAATTAAATTACATTATAAATATGCCACAGTGAAACCCACTATTATGTGTGATTATTATGCACCAATAAAAAACTAAAGAAGTCTTCATTAAAAAAAAACAACCCCCAATATTTGCTGAAGGGAAGTTTTCAAATTGTGTTCCATGGAGCTATTTCAGAAGTTCTTCAGTTGATACATGAGAATTTTACCCTAAAAATATAGTCTGACTCCTATTAACACGGTAACAGAAAACGGACCTGCATATCCAAACGCGTTCCATGGTCCGCTGTAGCCCATTGCATGTAGCCAGCCGGCGGACGCTGCCGGAGTAAGGGCAGACCCTGCACTAAGGTCTGGGTAGATCTTGAACTTCAGGGTTGAAATGGGTCTTCAGAAAGATAAACTGGGTTTCAGCTTTTTACTGGGCATCTTTGTGCTGTTGAAATTCAGGACTACGTCTGCTTGCGTTAAAACACACAAGCAAGAATACACTGAAGTGTTCAATGATAAGAGAATGTATTTCAAGGATTCTCACACAGGTGTCATAGATGATTCTGGGGCTTCCTGTCTGCTTTCTGATTGTAATAAGAAGGGATTCAAGCAATTGTTGGAGACAGTCAGTGGTGCACACCAGAACTCTCTTCTACCCCTCCCTGGATACCTGGATGATATGTAGTGAAGACCACCTTGTAGCTAAAAGGTATGCGGTTGAAAATTCACAGTGGTATTGATGTGACTTAGAATTCCTTAACACTGTGCAGCCAAGCCAAGCAAAACAAGAGAGAGAAGAGGAACACTGGATGTTGTGGCTAGTAGAGTAATACAATGGTTATCTAGGACACAGGTCAGCAAATTTTATCTGTAAAAGGCCAAATAGCAAATAGTTCTTGCTACAAGGGACAGACAATCTCAAGCAGCCATGGATAACATATAAATGAATGTGTTCCAATAAAACTTTATTTACAAAATCAGGTGGCAGTCTGGATTTGGTCCACAAAGCAGTTTGTGGATTCATATTTCAATGTTTTTATGTATCAGAGTTATTATACCATGAATATATTGTCATAATAAGTACATGAGAAAGATTTGAACTTAAAGAATAGTTGAATATTAATACTCTGCCACATTAACTTGTTTTATACATTGACATTCCAGGCAAGATCTGACTTTTAAAAAATGGCTTCTCAGACAACAAAAGCTTGAAGACTACTAGCAGAGATGTTGGCTGCTAAGAAAAATGCTTCCATGTCTATTTTTGAATTACCTTTGTCCTCTAGTCACTCAATCAGAAGTCACATTTATTCTGGAGAAAGCCCCAGTTCAGGTACCTTCTGAACAGGGGCAGTGTCCCCATGTCCTCCTACCCTCGGTTGACAGGGAACACAGCGGTCCCTAGGCCTTGGGTGGTGATGATGGATCTCTCCCTTCCCAGTAGTACACCTGCTGGCCTGGGCCAGCACCCTGCACCTCCACAGACGGGCCAGTGGGCAGCCATAGCCCACGATCACCTGGGTCCCCCAGCAGTACGGAGTCAGCACCCCATTAATCATGGCTGCTTTCTTCCCCAGGAAGAGCACGGGAAGGAGTGGGGGTCAGATTTCTAGCTGGAACTGACAGCTCATTTCCTGCTCCTCCACAGATGCCCCCTGCAGCTGGCAGAGCCCAAGTAGACAAACCAGAGTTGGGGTGAAGTAGGGGAGAGCAAGTGCCTGGTCTGGGGAGGACCCCTGAGGGCAGTTCCCCCAGAGTTATGCCTGCATCCTTCCGAGGATGCTGCTGAGGAGTAATGCAGACCCTGCCCTGAGACTGTCAGGAGAGGAGCCCACAGAGTTCACTGTGATGGACACAGAAGGAGACAAACAAATTGAAGTACAAGGAAAGGAAAAGTACGTAATGCCAAGGGACTGTTCATTATGGGCTATTCCTACTAAAATGTAGATATGACTAGGGGAGGGCCATCTTTGAATTACAGCTGCCTTTCTTCAGGAAGAATCTGGTGGAGGAAAAAAGTATTGGGTCTTATGTAGCCAGAGGTTCTGCTCCTTGTAGCTGTGTGACTGTCTTTCAAGTACTGATCATCTCTGTGCTGTTTCTTAATCTGTACACAAGGAGCAACAGGACCCACCTCCCTAGGTTCTCTGCAGGACTCAGACTCATCTGTAAAGTGCCAGGCCCTGTGGGCAGCAAGGGCTGATCCCTCGACTTCACCTGCCCTGGGACCAGGTGGTAGAGCATAGCAGATGTGTCACAGGAAGAATGGTGGCCTGCCTGTCTGCACCGGTGTTAGATGGTGGTGGGAAAGTGGGGAGTCCTTGCTACATGTCTGGTCCTGTCCCATGGGCCTTACCTGCACGTCGCCCCTGTGGGCCACTGCCACTGCTAGCCTCACTTTTTAAGTAAGAAAGTTGAGACACAAAGAGGAGCACCTGCACCAATAAATACTGTACAAACTGTCAGAGCTGGGATTTGAACTTGGAGAGAGGCTGTACTATCAAGCACCAAAACGGGGCTCAAATGCCCAATTCTTCCTAGGGATCCAGGGGATGCTTGCTCTCTACCTCTGTGGGAGAACTCTGATCAAGGCCTGGGTCTGCTGGGTCCAGGTGTGCTGCAGAGAGTGGGCAGAAGCCCAGGTCCTGGTCCTACTCCACAGTCCACGCAGCCACAGAGATGCCACCTCTGAGGCACCTGAGGCCCCGGCCCCTATGCATAGTGAGAAGATTTCTGCTCTCAAGGGACAGGATGAGTCACTGTTCACAGCCAGTCAGGTTGGGAAATTCCCCTTGGACCACACAGCTATGCCCACAGACCCAAGCATAGACCAGGAGGGACATCTCCAGAGCCTCTGGAAGAATCTCCAAGTTTCCAACTTTAGCTACACAAGAATCCAAAGGCAGATTCTTGCAGCCCAAGCCCCTGAAGTCTGAGGGCATGGGTGTCTGGGGGATTCACTCTGCCCTATTTTCTTCTTTTTTTAAAAAAATTAGTTCCCCAGGTAATTCTAATGCATTCCACACCAAACACCCAAGGACTTGATCCTGACCCCAAAAGCTTTTTAATACCGTACACCTAACCAGAATCACAGCCTGACCACACCACCTATCTGAGGCACTAAATATATATTTAACTATATATATTCCCAGGCCAATCCAAGTTAGATCTTTGGAGCTGGGGCCCAGGTACTGGAATTTCTGGAACTCTCCATGTGATGTTGACACATGGCTAGGATTGAGGACCACTACTAATGACCTTCCAATTCTTCCAACAGTGGGGTCTGGGGAGCTGATCTCCTGCCTTCAGGGGATACTGACCTCCTCTGACTGGGCAGTGGGTGGGTGGGGGAGGGCAGGAGAGGAAGAGGCTCTGGAAAGCAGGTGTTGGACAGAGGCATGGGCAGGCCTGGATCCATGAGAGGCTTTGTTGTGTCCAGGCAAAGGATGAAGGCTGTTGAACTGGGGGCAACAGGACAGCAGTTTGGGGAGACAACATGGAGAAGTGGCAGGATTGGCACCTGAGGGCTCACCCTCTTGAACAAGCAGTTCTGAGAGCTCCCAGAGCTCCCCAGAGGCACAAGGGAGGCAATGATAATCACAGCAGTAACAAACATTTTAAGAAGAATGAAAGCAAGCTCATGCTTCATCAAAATGGCGCCCAGCAAGCACCTCCAGGCATTGCTGTCTCCTACCTGTGCTGAAGGCACCACTTCCGGTGACCAAAACTAAAACGCTGTTCTCTTTGGAAACCAGCATTCATGTCCACGTTGCTGCGGCCTCCTCTTACACACCACTCTGCCCTCTGGAGGGGAGAGCTTGCCTGGCCAGGATCTCTTGAGGCTGCTCCATGAACTACTTCCAGGCTGCTGGGTTTGTGTCTCGAATCCTGCAGGAGGTGGTTGAAAGCCATGGTCAAAGAGTTTTCTTGGTCAACTTCTTTAGACACAGAACAATTTCTGCCTGGTACCAGGAGACCCAAGTCCCCAACTCCTCCCAAGCTGCTCTTCTTGGTGCAGGGCCTGACCCCCGTGTTTGGTGTAGTGGCTCTGGAACCTGCCATGTGCTACCTGTACCCAATACTCAATTTCTCTGAGCCTTATTCTTTGCCTTTATTTTGGGTGGGAAACTTCACAAGTTTCAGTCCCCCTGGTGTTCAGTTCTGCATACACCCCAGGATCATGATGTTTAGGTTCTGTTCTAGGGCACAGTAGATCTTCAAATGGGGAGATTATCTAAGCCTGAGCTAAGCAGGAAAGCCCTTTAAAAGAAGAGTCTTTTCTGACTAGTTAAGAAGAGAAAACCAGAGAGATTAGAATCATTAGGATTCAATGTGCCCTTGCTGATTTGAAGATAAAGGGGCCATAGAGGAATGACCTGGAAGCAGCTTCTGGAAGCCGAGTGCAACCACTCCACCAACAACCAGCAGCCGCAGTACCTCAGTCCTACAACCACAGGGAACTGAGTTATGCCAACAACAGGAATGAGCTTGGAAAAGCAGAATCTTCTCCAGAACCTCCAGCTGAGACCTTAGCCCATGGAGACCTCCGTGTCAGCCCTGAGCAGAATCCAGCCCTTCTGTAAAGACTCCTGACCTAGAAACCGAGCCAATGAATGCATCTGGTGGGAAGCCACTAAATTAGAGGTAATTTGTTACACAGCAAGAGAACACTAACCTGGCCCATGAAACTGACTCAAATTTGGGCATTGGTGAGGATTAGCTATAATCATGGATGCAAGACCAAATTGTATTCCTCGAGTCACCAAACAAAACAGAATGATCAGGACCAGCAGAAGCCTGGGTCAGGGAAGGAGCTCAATGATTACTGAATAAATAAGCCTAGGCGTGAGCATCAGATTTCAATAATCAACCTGGCAGGCTATTTTAAGGACCAAGTGAGAAAATACAGAGGAACGTGCTTCCTAAAGCTGGAATCGTTTTAGTCGACTATGGCATGGCATGTCCCCTCTGTGCTGTGCTCTTTGGGCTCTGCTCACTGTGTCTGCTCTAGGCAGTGTGGCATGATGGCTGGAATGTGGTTTCTAGGGCCAGGATACCTGGGTTCAAGTCCCAATCCTTCTACATACGACCTCTCCAACTTTGGTAAGTTGCTGTGCCTGAAAAGGAGGCTAAGACCAACAGGTGCCTCCCAGGGTTTTAATGACCTCACGTAAATGACCCAGAACAATGCCTGGCACTTGAGACACCCTGCACAATTGCCATGCGCTTTGTCCCAGAGTGGAACTCAACCCTCTGGGCCTGGAGTAACCTGCACACAGGCCTGGGACATTGCATTAACCTAGTCTTCAAATAGTTAGTGCTTGGCAACCACTTTTCACTATTGATTCCTACAGGATATACAGGTCACCCAAGTCCCTCTGCTGTCCCCTCCCCTCCATACCTGCCGCTACCAAATCCAGGCAGTCCTGCCCCAGGCCCAAAGGTAGCAGGGCGCCACCTCACAGGGGTGAGGCTGGACTTGCTTCCTGGCTCCCATCTATCGTTTCCCGAGTCTGGCAGCCCCTCACCCAAACTTCACAACTCCATGGTTTTCCATCATTTCCGAGTCTGACCTTATGCCCTCTAATAGGTTGCAATTATTAATAAAATGTTCTATTTCTCCCACTGATTTCTCAGAACACACTGTTCCACAAACAATCCACAATTTCCTACCTCTGAGTCTTTTGCTCAGGCAATTTCTTCTTCCCAGAATGTACTCCCTTCCCCCACAACTATGTCTACCTGACCAAATCGTGCCCATCCTCCCTCACATGGTTCAACCAGCTCCCACAAAACGGGACGTGAGTCCTGCCTTCCAGCACACCCAAAGCACATTTGTTGTGGCTCTCTTAAGGTAAATAACGGCGTTCAGTATGCGCAGAGACAACCTGGAAGCCCTTTTAGAATTAACGAAGCTCAGGCAGGGGCAGTGTGACTCTATCCCCAACCCCTAACAGGTGTTTTACACACAGCAACTGTATGGCGTCTCTTTAGACCCCAATGCAGCACATTTAACAGATGTGCATTCAGTGCCTAAGCTGGTTCAGGTGGGTGGTAGGTACCAAAGATAAAAGATAGCCTCGGTTTAGTCCCTTAAGGGGATCATGGTGAAGCAGTTGATTCTGATGGTGTCTGAATGTGTGAAATAGGGAGAGAGATGGAAAGAGAGAGGGAAGGAGGATATTTCAAACAGAGAACCCTCAAGTGGCTGGAATATTGGAGAAATTGCCTGATGTCCCAGTGGCTGGAGGGAAGGGTGGCCACAGCTGCTGAGGGAGGAGTCAGCAGGGGCCAGAGCCCAAGGTTTACTGGAGGAGGAGCCAGACTTGGTCTTACCCATGGAGTGAGGTCATGGGATCATTTTAATCAATGAGGTCATGTGGTGGGGATGAGGGGTGTGTCTCTGGAGGGGGTGGGATGGGATGGAAGCTGGGAGACTTCTTTCTGTGGGATCCCTGGGAATGAGGCCAGCATGACTGTTCACTGACAGCACTGGTCCCCTTATTAGCAACCGGTCAGAGAGCTGCCGAGCCATACCAGTATCCAGGCTACCTGCAAATGCCATACACATGTGAGGTTCTAAATGGCCAACTAAGTCCATCCATCTACCTCGTCTCCCCCAAACACGACTGACATAAAAAGAGAAATATGCAAATCAGAAGAGATCTGTAGTAGCACCAGCTGGCCAGGAAGCCTGAGGAGTGGGAGTGTCATCGGAGCCATGCTGGCCTCACCTGGGTGGCCTGGGCAGGGAGACACACTCAGAGCAAAGGGACTGAAATCCAAGCATATAAGAATGCTCTAGGCTTCCAAAGAGACCCATGTGGAGAGGGGGAAGTCATGGGGAACTGAGAATTCCTCCCTGTACCCTTTGTGACCTTCAGTTACGTGGCTTTACTATTCTGGGAGCCGCTGGCCATGCAGATGGCTTGTCTGTTCATTACAGAAATTCCTGAAGGCTCTACCCACTCTTCATCAACATTCTGTGTCCAGAAATTCTTTGAATCCCTTGCCTCAAACTCCTCGCCTCTCTGGTTCCCCTCCTCTTGGACTACGGTGCTCCAGGCCTTACACAGCCTCCTCGGGCTCCCACACCCGCATCTTCATCTAAAGGAAACCTCCAGTCCTTGGTGCAGACACCTTGCCTCCCCCATCCACATGTGCCTGGGCTCTGTGGAGGTGGCATTCTCCCTCCTAGGCAAGTGGCGAACTCAGCCTGGATACTATCAGGAGAGCTGGCGTCCAACAATCCCTACAAAAGATGTTGAGAACCAGGTAACGTCGGACTGATTCCGCCTCACTGATGGCTAGAGCACTACAGGGCCAAGATGTCAGATCTTGAGGGAAAAGGGTTAAAGCCCTGAGATCCATGAGTCAGCCAGGTCTCAAAGTGAAAGAGAGAAGGGCTAAAATAGGATGTCACCCACTTACCTATTCTCAAAGAAATTACTCGAGGAATTACTCCAACAAAATAAAAACTATACCAGAATAAGTCATATGAGAAAGGGCAAGAAGGCCTACCCAAGAAACAGGGATGATAAAAGCAGAACAAGTACAGCTATATCTACACAGACATCCTTAATGCTGGGTTCATCTTATTGGGAATTAGATACCATTGAATTCTTAACATGAATAGAGAAATATCTTTAACTTAAGGACAACCATTTCTAGAAGAAAAATAAAATACAGACCTTTTAAGCCACTGTATGTGTGAGAGAAGGGAGGAACAAAGAAAATCCAATTAATTTAGCAAGAGTTAGGGAAGGAAAAATTAAACAGGAGAAAAAAAGTACAATAAGTTAGAGACATAAGATGACAATAGTAAGAGCAAACATATTAATCAATTTAATAACATGAATAAATTCAATTATCTTATTGGGTAAAAAAAAAAGAAATCTAGCCATATGCTAGATTTGTAAGTAATAAACATAAAACAAATTGATGAAGGAAGGTTGAAATCAAAGAAATGGAAAAAAATACTTAACCGGCAAAATGGTAACAAAAAGAATGTAGGGAAGTCAATATGAGTCTCAGACAAAATGCAAAAATATTAAATAAAGTGGGACACTTTATATTGCTCAAGGGCCTACAGGAAGACACAAAATCATGAAACTTTACTCGGTCTGAGCAACAGGACCACAAAATAGATGAAACAATACATTCTTAAAACCACAAGGAGTAAAGGTAGAAAATAAAGACGGCTTTGGGGATTATGAATCAGTTTTGATGGGACAAGTTGCCTCCAAAGAAGAATAGGGAAGATCTGAAGATGTGATTAGTAGGTTTAACTTCCTACACATTCCAGAAACAGATAAAATTCCTTTCCCTCAAATGCCCCATATCACACTGCAAGAAAGTCTCCTATCTAAAGTGTCTAAATTGTACAGATCCCGGCTGTAGTTCTCAATGAAATAATATCTGAAGTGAACAAATAAAATAAAAAAAAACACGAAAATAAAAAAAAGTAACTTTGCATGTGCCAATTTTAAACTGCTTTTCTAAATAACTTTTGAGTCAAAGAGGACCAGAAAATAAACAAACAAACAAAAAACTGTGTGTGTGTGTGTGTGTGTGTGTGTGTGTGTGTGTGTGTTAGTTACTGGGGATTCAACCCAGAGGCACTTTGAGTTATATCCCCATCCCTTTTATTTTATTTATATTTTGAGACAGGATCTTGCTAAGTTGCAGAGGTTGGCCTCAAACTTGTAATCCTCCCACCTCAGCCTCCTGAGTCACTGGGGTTACAGCCATGCCCCACCAAGTCCCACTGAGAGCCCTACTTTTTGAAATCTATGATATGTAATCAAAACTGCACTGAGGAACATATAAACCTTAAATTCGTTTATGACAAAAGAAGAAAGACTAAAACTCAATGAATTAAGAAGTTT